TGTTAATCAGCAGGTTAAGCCACCACTTGGAAAGTCCATATCCAATCAGAGCACCAGCTCGAGACCCAGCGATTCCACTTCCTATCCACCTCCCCAACAATGCACCTGGGAAATAGCACGTGAAGATTCAAGTACTTGAGTTCTCACCCCCAAGAGGGAAACCAAGATGGAATTCCAGGCTCTTACCTTGAGCCTGGCCCAGCCCTAAGTTCCAGGCCTTGGGGGAGTGACTGAGAATAGAACCAAGTGCTTCGGTGCCTCAGGCGAAGTATTAGACTAGTGAGCTGTAGTGCGGACAGTGCCATTCATTTTAATATTTCACAGAGTATTTTTCATTAGGGAACTCTCTAATAAATAAAAAGAAAACACATTATATTTATATACATGTTGTATTTTTTTTTACTATTTGGAAATTGCCAGGAAACAAAAAAAAAAATACCAAAACAAAATAGTCAGCACTGTGAGGTAGCGGGTAAAGCCACGGCCCACAGTGACGCCACCCCATAGGGGCGCCGGTTCGAGTACGGCTGCTCCACTTCCGATGCAGCTCTCTGCTGGGGTCTGGGAAGGCAGAAGACACCCAAGTCCTTGTGCCTCTGCACCCATGAGGAGATCCCGGCGAGGCTCCTGGCTCCTGGCTTCAGATACTCTCAGCTCTGCCCATTGCAGCCAATTGGGTAGTGGACCAGCAGCTGGAAGTCTTCTCTCCAAACACACTCCCTCCTTCCCTCCCTCCCTCCCTTCCTCCCTCCCTCAAGTCCCCTCTGTGTTAACTCTTAGGTCAAATAAATAAATATGATCTTCAAGAAAAGTAAAAAAAAAAATTAAAAAAGGAACCCATAGCTATAAATAAAAAAAAAAACCACATCAAGGCCATCTCCTAGAGTTTCTTTTTGTTTTTAGAAATTGGTATTATTTACATTACCTACCCTATTAACCCAGAATTTGAAAAAGAGTTTAACTGGGTCTTAGAAAAGATTTTGGTACCCAGTCATTCTCTTCTTCCTTACAAACATTCCGCGTGGCATTATCTCTGACTTGCGCATGAGGAAATCTTTCGAATGTACTTATTCAGACACTTACGTACCCACGCACACAAGGACTTGAAACACCTGGGATCTACAGAGTTCTCCACGGAACACAGGTCTGCTTCCACTCACCGCCCTCCACAGTCTAGCCCTGCCTTTAAAGTATGGATCATGTCGGACACAGGCCAAATCGTGTCTCCCACAAAGCAAGAGAGAATACAGAAAGGTAGCATCGGAGGTCACTGCTGACATTTGCTCCGTGCACACTCATTATCATGTTGCTACTTTTTCTCTCATTCCTCAATGTTAGATACAAATTGGGAGGGAGGAAGTCCAACTATCCCTATTTGCAGATGACATGATTCTCTATATAGGAGATCCTAAAGACCCCACTACGAGACTATCAAAACCCAGAGTAGGGTGTGGTAAAGTGGCAGGAGAGAAAATCAGCAGCCTATTTGTATACACAGACAATGTCACGGCTGAGAAAGGACTTCAAAGACCAATCCTGTTCACATAGCTACAAAGCAAATGAAAGAGCTTGGAATAAATTGAACCAAGGATGCTCAATATCTGAGAAACACAAAAGATTAAACAAGGAAATGGAAGAGGACACCAAACAACAGCAAGCAACAACAACAACATATTGAGAAGCTTCTGCACTGCCAAAGAGACACTCAGCAAAGTGAAGAGGCAAACTAACGGTTGCAAAGCATGCAGCTGATAAAGAATCAACTACCAGAAACTTTCAAGAAGCTCAACACCAGCAAAACAATCCACCCACTCAAGAAATGGGCAAGGGACTTCAACAAGCAAACTATTTCAAGAAAGGGAATCTTCATGGCCAACACACACATGCAAACATGCTCAGGATCACTAGCCATCAGGGAAATGCAAACCGATATTACAATGGCCTTGAGGATGTGAGGGAAAAGGCACCCTAATCCACTGCTGGTGGGAATGTGAACTGGTATCACCACTGTGGAAGACAGTATGGAGATAAGTCAGAAATCTGAATACAGACGTAGCATATGAGCCAGCCACTCCAGCTCTGGGAAAGTACCCAAGGGAAATGAAATCAGCATACAAAAAAAGAGTTCTCTCTGCCCCCGTATTTACTACAGCTCAACCCACAAGAGCAAAGATATGCCATCAGCCAAAATGCCGATCACCTCAAGACTGAATAAAGACATTCTGGGCTATGGACACCATACATGCGTCTGCAGACTGCATAGCCTGGCTTTTGTGCATCCTACTGCAATAAGCATAGGCCTGCGAAAGCCTCTCTGTCTACACAATGATTTCGTTTCCTTCAACACGTTCCCAGTAGTGGGTACACCCATACAGTTTTCCATGTTGACAGGACCAATTTCACATGAGAAACTGTATTGCTCTACAGGTATATATTACAGAATACAGACATCGGATCCATAAACCCAATTTTGCCTTCAAACACTAGAACAGCAAAGTAAATCTGAAGAAACCGGAAGGAGGAAAATGATTCAAATGGAAATCAACCCAGCAGCATAGAAAATATCACAAAAGACATTCACTGAGACCAAAATACAGTTCTTGAGAACTCAGTGAAACTGACAAAAGAGGAAACGGGGGGGGGGGAAAGGAGAACAGACTCAAATGACTTGACAACAGAAATGACAAGAGAGGACATCACTACCAACCTTGCCAAAATAATAAACCAAAAATACTAGGGAAAAACCAGGCACGGGGATTTGGTCAACCTAGATAGAGTGGATTGACTCTCAGAAAGACGCAAACCGCTAAAACTGAATACAGTAAAACAAGAAACTCTGAATACACTTATAATTTGAAAAGAGACTGTAGTTGCAGGGAAACAGAAACAAACAAAAAAGACAAGAAGGAAAGTCCAGGACCAGATGGCTCTACAGGTGAGAACTCCACTTAAAAGATAATTAAAATCCGTGATTCGCACACCCTCCCAAAAAGGGGATGAAGAGGAAAAGCCTTCCATTTCATTCCATCAGACCAGCATCATCCCAACATCCCAAACAAGCACACATCATAAAGAAAATGGCATAGATATATCCGTCGTGAATGTGTCACATGCCTCGCCAGACACCATCCAGAAGCACAACCAAAGCTTAGCACACTGTGTGCAACTCAGAGTTACTCCAGAAATGCAAGGATGCATTTCTACCATACAAAATCAATCTATCACAGAACACACCAAACATGGGCAAAACCCACCAAGTATCCCGACAGACACAGAAAACCTATTCCACAAAAACTCCCGTGACTTGTGCGATACTAAAAACCAAATCATCAAATTAGGAAGGAAGGTATACCTCGGCCTGACAAGGCTCTTTCATGAAAAACCCGCAGAGCGCTAACATCACAGCCAATGCCAGGAACCCGAAACTGTCCTCCTAGACCAGGACACAGACACGCACTTTCGCTCTCATTCCTCCCGACAACACTCACAGGTCTAGAGCAGGGCGGCTGGGCCCTCGAAAAGCAAACAGACAAGAACACAAGGCCGTTCCGGGAGGAGACCCAGCCACCTCTGCTCTCGCACAGCTGCTCGCACCCTGGGGACCCTTCCAGACCGTCCGCACTGCACGACCGCGACTCCACCCGCGCCTTCGGGACCCAAGAGCAACAGGCACGCCTGCAGCCCAGATCCCCAGCGGGACACTGCAACAGCCGCGCGTCACTCACCTCAAAGGGGGCAGGGGGCGGTTCTGCCCGCGAGACAGAGGTCCGCGAAGGCCGTTGCTTCCCGAAGGGGCCGAAGAATAGAAACGCACCTGGGAAATGGCGCGGCAGCCTCCGACACGCAGCCTCTCCTGATGCCGGCCTGACCCGGGGGCCGCTGGGTCTCCCTCAGGCTCAGGCTCGGCCAGCAGCGTCGAAGAAGGCTCCTCTCCTCACGGCTTGCACGGGTGCTCTGGCAGGAGTAGACGTGGCGCTGACTCCCAGCGAGCACCGCGGGGCAGCTGGCGCCAGGCGTGCCGGTGCACTTCCTGGTCACAGCGCCAGGCGCAGACGCACTCCCCACAGGCCATCACCATGGCAACCCAGGACGCTTCTGCACACTGCCGCATCCAGCGTCTGAAGCCCCAGGGCCGCTTCCAGTCCCGCCTCTCCAGGCGGTGACCCAGGGACGCGGACCCTGAGAGCCCGCGTTCTCTGGACCCCACCTCCATGTCTCACGGGAGTCCTAATTGCAGCTCCTGCCTCCTGCCTCCTGCCTCCTGCCTCCTGCCTCCTGCCTCCTGGCTTCTGCCTGGCCCAGCGCTGGCCATTCACTGGAGCCACTTGGGGAGAGAGGCAGTACAGGGGGCCTCGCCAGCACTCTCTCACACTCTCTCTCTCTCTCTCTCTGAGTGATCATCCATGTGGAGGTTCACCCCCGAGATGGCTACAAAGGCCGGGACTGGGACAGAAGCCAGTGGCTGAAGCAGAAGCCAGGGACTTTAGCCGCTGCTCCATTCTGGGTTCAGGGGCCTAAGTCCTTGGGCCGTCTCCTTCTGCTTTCCCAGGCCTGTTAGCAGACAGCTGGATCCCACAGTGAACGGCTTCCGGGAGGGTCGGCACTGTGAGGTAGCGGGTAAAGCCAAGGCCCCCAGTGACGCCACCCCATAGGGGCGCCGGTTCGAGTACGGCTGCTCCACTTCCGATGCAGCTCTCTGCTGGGGTCTGGGAAGGCAGCAGAAGACACCCAAGTCCTTGTGCCTCTGCACCCATGAGGAGATCCCGGCGAGGCTCCTGGCTCCTGGCTTCAGATACTCTCAGCTCTGCCCATTGCAGCCAATTGGGTAGTGGACCAGCAGCTGGAAGTCTTCTCTCCAAACACACTCCCTCCCTCCTCCCTCCCTCCTCCTCCCTCCCTCAAGTCCCCTCTGTGTTAACTCTTAGGTCAAATAAATAAATATGATCTTCAAGAAAAGTAAAAAAAAAAATTAAAAAAGGAACCCATAGCTATAAATAAAAAAAAAACCACATCAAGGCCATCTCCTAGAGTTTCTTTTTGTTTTTAGAAATTGGTATTATTTACATTACCTACCCTATTAACCCAGAATTTGAAAAAGAGTTTAACTGGGTCTTAGAAAAGATTTTGGTACCCAGTCATTCTCTTCTTCCTTACAAACATTCCGCGTGGCATTATCTCTGACTTGCGCATGAGGAAATCTTTCGAATGTACTTATTCAGACACTTACGTACCCACGCACACAAGGACTTGAAACACCTGGGATCTACAGAGTTCTCCACGGAACACAGGTCTGCTTCCACTCACCGCCCTCCACAGTCTAGCCCTGCCTTTAAAGTATGGATCATGTCGGACACAGGCCAAATCGTGTCTCCCACAAAGCAAGAGAGAATACAGAAAGGTAGCATCGGAGGTCACTGCTGACATTTGCTCCGTGCACATTCATTATCATGTTGCTACTTTTTCTCTCATTCCTCAATGTTAGATACAAATTGGGAGGGAGGAAGTCCAACTATCCCTATTTGCAGATGACATGATTCTCTATATAGGAGATCCTAAAGACCCCACTACGAGACTATCAAAACCCAGAGTAGGGTGTGGTAAAGTGGCAGGAGAGAAAATCAGCAGCCTATTTGTATACACAGACAATGTCACGGCTGAGAAAGGACTTCAAAGACCAATCCTGTTCACATAGCTACAAAGCAAATGAAAGAGCTTGGAATAAATTGAACCAAGGATGCTCAATATCTGAGAAACACAAAAGATTAAACAAGGAAATGGAAGAGGACACCAAACAACAGCAGCAACAACAACAACATATTGAGAAGCTTCTGCACTGCCAAAGAGACACTCAGCAAAGTGAAGAGGCAAACTAACGGTTGCAAAGCATGCAGCTGATAAAGAATCAACTACCAGAAACTTTCAAGAAGCTCAACACCAGCAAAACAATCCACCCACTCAAGAAATGGGCAAGGGACTTCAACAAGCAAACTATTTCAAGAAAGGGAATCTTCATGGCCAACACACACATGCAAACATGCTCAGGATCACTAGCCATCAGGGAAATGCAAACCGATATTACAATGGCCTTGAGGATGTGAGGGAAAAGGCACCCTAATCCACTGCTGGTGGGAATGTGAACTGGTATCACCACTGTGGAAGACAGTATGGAGATAAGTCAGAAATCTGAATACAGACGTAGCATATGAGCCAGCCACTCCAGCTCTGGGAAAGTACCCAAGGGAAATGAAATCAGCATACAAAAAAGAGTTCTCTCTGCCCCCGTATTTACTACAGCTCAACCCACAAGAGCAAAGATATGCCATCAGCCAAAATGCCGATCACCTCAAGACTGAATAAAGACATTCTGGGCTATGGACACCATACATGCGTCTGCAGACTGCATAGCCTGGCTTTTGTGCATCCTACTGCAATAAGCATAGGCCTGCGAAAGCCTCTCTGTCTACACAATGATTTCGTTTCCTTCAACACGTTCCCAGTAGTGGGTACACCCATACAGTTTTCCATGTTGACAGGACCAATTTCACATGAGAAACTGTATTGCTCTACAGCTATATATTACAGAATACAGACATCGGATCCATAAACCCAATTTTGCCTTCAAACACTAGAACAGCAAAGTAAATCTGAAGAAACCGGAAGGAGGAAAATGATTCAAATGGAAATCAACCCAGCAGCATAGAAAATATCACAAAAGACATTCACTGAGACCAAAATACAGTTCTTGAAAACTCAGTGAAACTGACAAAAGAGGAAACAGGGGGGGGGAAAAGGAGAACAGACTCAAATGACTTGACAACAGAAATGACAGAGAGGACATCACTACCAACCTTGCCAAAATAATAAACCAAAAATACTAGGGAAAAACCAGGCACGGGGATTTGGTCAACCTAGATAGAGTGGATTGACTCTCAGAAAGACGCAAACCGCTAAAACTGAATACAGTAAAACAAGAAACTCTGAATACACTTATAATTTGAAAAGAGACTGTAGTTGCAGGGAAACAGAAACAAACAAAAAAGACAAGAAGGAAAGTCCAGGACCAGATGGCTCTACAGGTGAGAACTCCACTTAAAAGATAATTAAAATCCGTGATTCGCACACCCTCCCAAAAAGGGGATGAAGAGGAAAAGCCTTCCATTTCATTCCATCAGACCAGCATCATCCCAACATCCCAAACAAGCACACATCATAAAGAAAATGGCATAGATATATCCGTCGTGAATGTGTCACATGCCTCGCCAGACACCATCCAGAAGCACAACCAAAGCTTAGCACACTGTGTGCAACTCAGAGTTACTCCAGAAATGCAAGGATGCATTTCTACCATACAAAATCAATCTATCACAGAACACACCAAACATGGGCAAAACCCACCAAGTATCCCGACAGACACAGAAAACCTATTCCACAAAAACTCCCGTGACTTGTGCGATACTAAAAACCAAATCATCAAATTAGGAAGGAAGGTATACCTCGGCCTGACAAGGCTCTTTCATGAAAAACCCGCAGAGCGCTAACATCACAGCCAATGCCAGGAACCCGAAACTGTCCTCCTAGACCAGGACACAGACACGCACTTTCGCTCTCATTCCTCCCGACAACACTCACAGGTCTAGAGCAGGGCGGCTGGGCCCTCGAAAAGCAAACAGACAAGAACACAAGGCCGTTCCGGGAGGAGACCCAGCCACCTCTGCTCTCGCACAGCTGCTCGCACCCTGGGGACCCTTCCAGACCGTCCGCACTGCACGACCGCGACTCCACCCGAGCCTTCGGGACCCAAGAGCAACAGGCACGCCTGCAGCCCAGATCCCCAGCGGGACACTGCAACAGCCGCGCGTCACTCACCTCAAAGGGGGCAGGGGGGCGGTCTGCCCGCGAGACAGAGGTCCGCGAAGGCCGTTGCTTCCCGAAGGGGCCGAAGAATAGAAACGCACCTGGGAAATGGCGCGGCAGCCTCCGACACGCAGCCTCTCCTGATGCCGGCCTGACCCGGGGGCCGCTGGGTCTCCCTCAGGCTCAGGCTCGGCCAGCAGCGTCGAAGAAGGCTCCTCTCCTCACGGCTTGCACGGGTGCTCTGGCAGGAGTAGACGTGGCGCTGACTCCCAGCGAGCACCGCGGGGCAGCTGGCGCCAGGCGTGCCGGTGCACTTCCTGGTCACAGCGCCAGGCGCAGACGCACTCCCCACAGGCCATCACCATGGCAACCCAGGACGCTTCTGCACACTGCCGCATCCAGCGTCTGAAGCCCCAGGGCCGCTTCCAGTCCCGCCTCTCCAGGCGGTGACCCAGGGACGCGGACCCTGAGAGCCCGCGTTCTCTGGACCCCACCTCCATGTCTCATGGGAGTCCTAATTGCAGCACCTGCCTCCTGACTCCTTCCTCCTGCCTCCCGCCTCCTGGCTTCTGCCTGGCCCAGCGCTGGCCATTCACTGGAGCCACTTGGGGAGAGAGGCAGTACAGGGGGCCTCGCCAGCACTCTCTCACACTCTCTCTCTCTCTCTCTCTGAGTGATCATCCATGTGGAGGTTCACCCCCGAGATGGCTACAAAGGCCGGGACTGGGACAGAAGCCAGTGGCTGAAGCAGAAGCCAGGGACTTTAGCCGCTGCTCCATTCTGGGTTCAGGGGCCTAAGTCCTTGGGCCGTCTCCTTCTGCTTTCCCAGGCCTGTTAGCAGACAGCTGGATCCCACAGTGAACGGCTTCCGGGAGGGTCGGCACTGTGAGGTAGCGGGTAAAGCCACGGCCCCCAGTGACGCCACCCCATAGGGGCGCCGGTTCGAGTACGGCTGCTCCACTTCCGATGCAGCTCTCTGCTGGGGTCTGGGAAGGCAGCAGAAGACACCCAAGTCCTTGTGCCTCTGCACCCATGAGGAGATCCCGGCGAGGCTCCTGGCTCCTGGCTTCAGATACTCTCAGCTCTGCCCATTGCAGCCAATTGGGTAGTGGACCAGCAGCTGGAAGTCTTCTCTCCAAACACACTCCCTCCCTCCCTCCCCTCCCTCCCTCCAGTCCCCTCTGTGTTAACTCTTAGGTCAAATAAATAAATATGATCTTCAAGAAAAGTAAAAAAAAAAAATTAAAAAAGGAACCCATAGCTATAAATAAAAAAACCACATCAAGGCCATCTCCTAGAGTTTCTTTTTGTTTTTAGAAATTGGTATTATTTACATTACCTACCCTATTAACCCAGAATTTGAAAAAGAGTTTAACTGGGTCTTAGAAAAGATTTTGGTACCCAGTCATTCTCTTCTTCCTTACAAACATTCCGCGTGGCATTATCTCTGACTTGCGCATGAGGAAATCTTTCGAATGTACTTATTCAGACACTTACGTACCCACGCACACAAGGACTTGAAACACCTGGGATCTACAGAGTTCTCCACGGAACACAGGTCTGCTTCCACTCACCGCCCTCCACAGTCTAGCCCTGCCTTTAAAGTATGGATCATGTCGGACACAGGCCAAATCGTGTCTCCCACAAAGCAAGAGAGAATACAGAAAGGTAGCATCGGAGGTCACTGCTGACATTTGCTCCGTGCACATTCATTATCATGTTGCTACTTTTTCTCTCATTCCTCAATGTTAGATACAAATTGGGAGGGAGGAAGTCCAACTATCCCTATTTGCAGATGACATGATTCTCTATATAGGAGATCCTAAAGACCCCACTACGAGACTATCAAAACCCAGAGTAGGGTGTGGTAAAGTGGCAGGAGAGAAAATCAGCAGCCTATTTGTATACACAGACAATGTCACGGCTGAGAAAGGACTTCAAAGACCAATCCTGTTCACATAGCTACAAAGCAAATGAAAGAGCTTGGAATAAATTGAACCAAGGATGCTCAATATCTGAGAAACACAAAAGATTAAACAAGGAAATGGAAGAGGACACCAAACAACAGCAGCAACAACAACAACATATTGAGAAGCTTCTGCACTGCCAAAGAGACACTCAGCAAAGTGAAGAGGCAAACTAACGGTTGCAAAGCATGCAGCTGATAAAGAATCAACTACCAGAAACTTTCAAGAAGCTCAACACCAGCAAAACAATCCACCCACTCAAGAAATGGGCAAGGGACTTCAACAAGCAAACTATTTCAAGAAAGGGAATCTTCATGGCCAACACACACATGCAAACATGCTCAGGATCACTAGCCATCAGGGAAATGCAAACCGATATTACAATGGCCTTGAGGATGTGAGGGAAAAGGCACCCTAATCCACTGCTGGTGGGAATGTGAACTGGTATCACCACTGTGGAAGACAGTATGGAGATAAGTCAGAAATCTGAATACAGACGTAGCATATGAGCCAGCCACTCCAGCTCTGGGAATGTACCCAAGGGAAATGAAATCAGCATACAAAAAAGAGTTCTCTCTGCCCCGTATTTACTACAGCTCAACTCACAAGAGCAAAGATATGCCATCAGCCAAAATGCCGATCACCTCAAGACTGAATAAAGACATTCTGGGCTATGGACACCATACATGCGTCTGCAGACTGCATAGCCTGGCTTTTGTGCATCCTACTGCAATAAGCATAGGCCTGCGAAAGCCTCTCTGTCTACACAATGATTTCGTTTCCTTCAACACGTTCCCAGTAGTGGGTACACCCATACAGTTTTCCATGTTGACAGGACCAATTTCACATGAGAAACTGTATTGCTCTACAGCTATATATTACAGAATACAGACATCGGATCCATAAACCCAATTTTGCCTTCAAACACTAGAACAGCAAAGTAAATCTGAAGAAACCGGAAGGAGGAAAATGATTCAAATGGAAATCAACCCAGCAGCATAGAAAATATCACAAAAGACATTCACTGAGACCAAAATACAGTTCTTGAAAACTCAGTGAAACTGACAAAAGAGGAAACAGGGGGGGGGAAAAGGAGAACAGACTCAAATGACTTGACAACAGAAATGACAGAGAGGACATCACTACCAACCTTGCCAAAATAATAAACCAAAAATACTAGGGAAAAACCAGGCACGGGGATTTGGTCAACCTAGATAGAGTGGATTGACTCTCAGAAAGACGCAAACCGCTAAAACTGAATACAGTAAAACAAGAAACTCTGAATACACTTATAATTTGAAAAGAGACTGTAGTTGCAGGGAAACAGAAACAAACAAAAAAGACAAGAAGGAAAGTCCAGGACCAGATGGCTCTACAGGTGAGAACTCCACTTAAAAGATAATTAAAATCCGTGATTCGCACACCCTCCCAAAAGGGGATGAAGAGGAAAAGCCTTCCATTTCATTCCATCAGACCAGCATCATCCCAACATCCCAAACAAGCACACATCATAAAGAAAATGGCATAGATATATCCGTCGTGAATGTGTCACATGCCTCGCCAGACACCATCCAGAAGCACAACCAAAGCTTAGCACACTGTGTGCAACTCAGAGTTACTCCAGAAATGCAAGGATGCATTTCTACCATACAAAATCAATCTATCACAGAACACACCAAACATGGGCAAAACCCACCAAGTATCCCGACAGACACAGAAAACCTATTCCACAAAAACTCCCGTGACTTGTGCGATACTAAAAACCAAATCATCAAATTAGGAAGGAAGGTATACCTCGGCCTGACAAGGCTCTTTCATGAAAAACCCGCAGAGCGCTAACATCACAGCCAATGCCAGGAACCCGAAACTGTCCTCCTAGACCAGGACACAGACACGCACTTTCGCTCTCATTCCTCCCGACAACACTCACAGGTCTAGAGCAGGGCGGCTGGGCCCTCGAAAAGCAAACAGACAAGAACACAAGGCCGTTCCGGGAGGAGACCCAGCCACCTCTGCTCTCGCACAGCTGCTCGCACCCTGGGGACCCTTCCAGACCGTCCGCACTGCACGACCGCGACTCCACCCGCGCCTTCGGGACCCAAGAGCAACAGGCACGCCTGCAGCCCAGATCCCCAGCGGGACACTGCAACAGCCGCGCGTCACTCACCTCAAAGGGGGCAGGGGGGCGGTCTGCCCGCGAGACAGAGGTCCGCGAAGGCCGTTGCTTCCCGAAGGGGCCGAAGAATAGAAACGCACCTGGGAAATGGCGCGGCAGCCTCCGACACGCAGCCTCTCCTGATGCCGGCCTGACCCGGGGGCCGCTGGGTCTCCCTCAGGCTCAGGCTCGGCCAGCAGCGTCGAAGAAGGCTCCTCTCCTCACGGCTTGCACGGGTGCTCTGGCAGGAGTAGACGTGGCGCTGACTCCCAGCGAGCACCGCGGGGCAGCTGGCGCCAGGCGTGCCGGTGCACTTCCTGGTCACAGCGCCAGGCGCAGACGCACTCCCCACAGGCCATCACCATGGCAACCCAGGACGCTTCTGCACACTGCCGCATCCAGCGTCTGAAGCCCCAGGGCCGCTTCCAGTCCCGCCTCTCCAGGCGGTGACCCAGGGACGCGGACCCTGAGAGCCCGCGTTCTCTGGACCCCACCTCCATGTCTCACGGGAGTCCTAATTGCAGCTCCTGCCTCCTGCCTCCTGCCTCCTGCCTCCTGCCTCCTGGCTTCTGCCTGGCCCAGCGCTGGCCATTCACTGGAGCCACTTGGGGAGAGAGGCAGTACAGGGGGCCTCGCCAGCACTCTCTCACACTCTCTCTCTCTCTCTCTCTGAGTGATCATCCATGTGGAGGTTCACCCCCGAGATGGCTACAAAGGCCGGGACTGGGACAGAAGCCAGTGGCTGAAGCAGAAGCCAGGGACTTTAGCCGCTGCTCCATTCTGGGTTCAGGGGCCTAAGTCCTTGGGCCGTCTCCTTCTGCTTTCCCAGGCCTGTTAGCAGACAGCTGGATCCCACAGTGAACGGCTTCCGGGAGGGTCGGCACTGTGAGGTAGCGGGTAAAGCCAAGGCCCCCAGTGACGCCACCCCATAGGGGCGCCGGTTCGAGTACGGCTGCTCCACTTCCGATGCAGCTCTCTGCTGGGGTCTGGGAAGGCAGCAGAAGACACCCAAGTCCTTGTGCCTCTGCACCCATGAGGAGATCCCGGCGAGGCTCCTGGCTCCTGGCTTCAGATACTCTCAGCTCTGCCCATTGCAGCCAATTGGGTAGTGGACCAGCAGCTGGAAGTCTTCTCTCCAAACACACTCCCTCCCTCCCTCCCTCCCTCCCTCAAGTCCCCTCTGTGTTAACTCTTAGGTCAAATAAATAAATATGATCTTCAAGAAAAGTAAAAAAAAAAAATTAAAAAAGGAACCCATAGCTATAAATAAAAAAACCACATCAAGGCCATCTCCTAGAGTTTCTTTTTGTTTTTAGAAATTGGTATTATTTACATTACCTACCCTATTAACCCAGAATTTGAAAAAGAGTTTAACTGGGTCTTAGAAAAGATTTTGGTACCCAGTCATTCTCTTCTTCCTTACAAACATTCCGCGTGGCATTATCTCTGACTTGCGCATGAGGAAATCTTTCGAATGTACTTATTCAGACACTTACGTACCCACGCACACAAGGACTTGAAACACCTGGGATCTACAGAGTTCTCCACGGAACACAGGTCTGCTTCCACTCACCGCCCTCCACAGTCTAGCCCTGCCTTTAAAGTATGGATCATGTCGGACACAGGCCAAATCGTGTCTCCCACAAAGCAAGAGAGAATACAGAAAGGTAGCATCGGAGGTCACTGCTGACATTTGCTCCGTGCACATTCATTATCATGTTGCTACTTTTTCTCTCATTCCTCAATGTTAGATACAAATTGGGAGGGAGGAAGTCCAACTATCCCTATTTGCAGATGACATGATTCTCTATATAGGAGATCCTAAAGACCCCACTACGAGACTATCAAAACCCAGAGTAGGGTGTGGTAAAGTGGCAGGAGAGAAAATCAGCAGCCTATTTGTATACACAGACAATGTCACGGCTGAGAAAGGACTTCAAAGACCAATCCTGTTCACATAGCTACAAAGCAAATGAAAGAGCTTGGAATAAATTGAACCAAGGATGCTCAATATCTGAGAAACACAAAAGATTAAACAAGGAAATGGAAGAGGACACCAAACAACAGCAAGCAACAACAACAACATATTGAGAAGCTTCTGCACTGCCAAAGAGACACTCAGCAAAGTGAAGAGGCAAACTAACGGTTGCAAAGCATGCAGCTGATAAAGAATCAACTACCAGAAACTTTCAAGAAGCTCAACACCAGCAAAACAATCCACCCACTCAAGAAATGGGCAAGGGACTTCAACAAGCAAACTATTTCAAGAAAGGGAATCTTCATGGCCAACACACACATGCAAACATGCTCAGGATCACTAGCCATCAGGGAAATGCAAACCGATATTACAATGGCCTTGAGGATGTGAGGGAAAAGGCACCCTAATCCACTGCTGGTGGGAATGTGAACTGGTATCACCACTGTGGAAGACAGTATGGAGATAAGTCAGAAATCTGAATACAGACGTAGCATATGAGCCAGCCACTCCAGCTCTGGGAAAGTACCCAAGGGAAATGAAATCAGCATACAAAAAAAGAGTTCTCTCTGCCCCCGTATTTACTACAGCTCAACCCACAAGAGCAAAGATATGCCATCAGCCAAAATGCCGATCACCTCAAGACTGAATAAAGACATTCTGGGCTATGGACACCATACATGCGTCTGCAGACTGCATAGCCTGGCTTTTGTGCATCCTACTGCAATAAGCATAGGCCTGCGAAAGCCTCTCTGTCTACACAATGATTTCGTTTCCTTCAACACGTTCCCAGTAGTGGGTACACCCATACAGTTTTCCATGTTGACAGGACCAATTTCACATGAGAAACTGTATTGCTCTACAGCTATATATTACAGAATACAGACATCGGATCCATAAACCCAATTTTGCCTTCAAACACTAGAACAGCAAAGTAAATCTGAAGAAACCGGAAGGAGGAAAATGATTCAAATGGAAATCAACCCAGCAGCATAGAAAATATCACAAAAGACATTCACTGAGACCAAAATACAGTTCTTGAAAACTCAGTGAAACTGACAAAAGAGGAAACGGGGGGGGGGGGAAGGAGAACAGACTCAAATGACTTGACAACAGAAATGACAGAGAGGACATCACTACCAACCTTGCCAAAATAATAAACCAAAAATACTAGGGAAAAACCAGGCACGGGGATTTGGTCAACCTAGATAGAGTGGATTGACTCTCAGAAAGACGCAAACCGCTAAAACTGAATACAGTAAAACAAGAAACTCTGAATACACTTATAATTTGAAAAGAGACTGTAGTTGCAGGGAAACAGAAACAAACAAAAAAGACAAGAAGGAAAGTCCAGGACCAGATGGCTCTACAGGTGAGAACTCCACTTAAAAGATAATTAAAATCCGTGATTCGCACACCCTCCCAAAAAGGGGATGAAGAGGAAAAGCCTTCCATTTCATTCCATCAGACCAGCATCATCCCAACATCCCAAACAAGCACACATCATAAAGAAAATGGCATAGATATATCCGTCGTGAATGTGTCACATGCCTCGCCAGACACCATCCAGAAGCACAACCAAAGCTTAGCACACTGTGTGCAACTCAGAGTTACTCCAGAAATGCAAGGATGCATTTCTACCATACAAAATCAATCTATCACAGAACACACCAAACATGGGCAAAACCCACCAAGTATCCCGACAGACACAGAAAACCTATTCCACAAAAACTCCCGTGACTTGTGCGATACTAAAAACCAAATCATCAAATTAGGAAGGAAGGTATACCTCGGCCTGACAAGGCTCTTTCATGAAAAACCCGCAGAGCGCTAACATCACAGCCAATGCCAGGAACCCGAAACTGTCCTCCTAGACCAGGACACAGACACGCACTTTCGCTCTCATTCCTCCCGACAACACTCACAGGTCTAGAGCAGGGCGGCTGGGCCCTCGAAAAGCAAACAGACAAGAACACAAGGCCGTTCCGGGAGGAGACCCAGCCACCTCTGCTCTCGCACAGCTGCTCGCACCCTGGGGACCCTTCCAGACCGTCCGCACTGCACGACCGCGACTCCACCCGCGCCTTCGGGACCCAAGAGCAACAGGCACGCCTGCAGCCCAGATCCCCAGCGGGACACTGCAACAGCCGCGCGTCACTCACCTCAAAGGGGGCAGGGGGGCGGTCTGCCCGCGAGACAGAGGTCCGCGAAGGCCGTTGCTTCCCGAAGGGGCCGAAGAATAGAAACGCACCTGGGAAATGGCGCGGCAGCCTCCGACACGCAGCCTCTCCTGATGCCGGCCTGACCCGGGGGCCGCTGGGTCTCCCTCAGGCTCAGGCTCGGCCAGCAGCGTCGAAGAAGGCTCCTCTCCTCACGGCTTGCACGGGTGCTCTGGCAGGAGTAGACGTGGCGCTGACTCCCAGCGAGCACCGCGGGGCAGCTGGCGCCAGGCGTGCCGGTGCACTTCCTGGTCACAGCGCCAGGCGCAGACGCACTCCCCACAGGCCATCACCATGGCAACCCAGGACGCTTCTGCACACTGCCGCATCCAGCGTCTGAAGCCCCAGGGCCGCTTCCAGTCCCGCCTCTCCAGGCGGTGACCCAGGGACGCGGACCCTGAGAGCCCGCGTTCTCTGGACCCCACCTCCATGTCTCACGGGAGTCCTAATTGCAGCTCCTGCCTCCTGCCTCCTGCCTCCTGCCTCCTGCCTCCTGGCTTCTGCCTGGCCCAGCGCTGGCCATTCACTGGAGCCACTTGGGGAGAGAGGCAGTACAGGGGGCCTCGCCAGCACTCTCTCACACTCTCTCTCTCTCTCTCTCTGAGTGATCATCCATGTGGAGGTTCACCCCCGAGATGGCTACAAAGGCCGGGACTGGGACAGAAGCCAGTGGCTGAAGCAGAAGCCAGGGACTTTAGCCGCTGCTCCATTCTGGGTTCAGGGGCCTAAGTCCTTGGGCCGTCTCCTTCTGCTTTCCCAGGCCTGTTAGCAGACAGCTGGATCCCACAGTGAACGGCTTCCGGGAGGGTCGGCACTGTGAGGTAGCGGGTAAAGCCAAGGCCCCCAGTGACGCCACCCCATAGGGGCGCCGGTTCGAGTACGGCTGCTCCACTTCCGATGCAGCTCTCTGCTGGGGTCTGGGAAGGCAGCAGAAGACACCCAAGTCCTTGTGCCTCTGCACCCATGAGGAGATCCCGGCGAGGCTCCTGGCTCCTGGCTTCAGATACTCTCAGCTCTGCCCATTGCAGCCAATTGGGTAGTGGACCAGCAGCTGGAAGTCTTCTCTCCAAACACACTCCCTCCCTCCCTCCCTCCCTCCCTCAAGTCCCCTCTGTGTTAACTCTTAGGTCAAATAAATAAATATGATCTTCAAGAAAAGTAAAAAAAAAAATTAAAAAAGGAACCCATAGCTATAAATAAAAAAACCACATCAAGGCCATCTCCTAGAGTTTCTTTTTGTTTTTAGAAATTGGTATTATTTACATTACCTACCCTATTAACCCAGAATTTGAAAAAGAGTTTAACTGGGTCTTAGAAAAGATTTTGGTACCCAGTCATTCTCTTCTTCCTTACAAACATTCCGCGTGGCATTATCTCTGACTTGCGCATGAGGAAATCTTTCGAATGTACTTATTCAGACACTTACGTACCCACGCACACAAGGACTTGAAACACCTGGGATCTACAGAGTTCTCCACGGAACACAGGTCTGCTTCCACTCACCGCCCTCCACAGTCTAGCCCTGCCTTTAAAGTATGGATCATGTCGGACACAGGCCAAATCGTGTCTCCCACAAAGCAAGAGAGAATACAGAAAGGTAGCATCGGAGGTCACTGCTGACATTTGCTCCGTGCACATTCATTATCATGTTGCTACTTTTTCTCTCATTCCTCAATGTTAGATACAAATTGGGAGGGAGGAAGTCCAACTATCCCTATTTGCAGATGACATGATTCTCTATATAGGAGATCCTAAAGACCCCACTACGAGACTATCAAACCCAGAGTAGGGTGTGGTAAAGTGGCAGGAGAGAAAATCAGCAGCCTATTTGTATACACAGACAATGTCACGGCTGAGAAAGGACTTCAAAGACCAATCCTGTTCACATAGCTACAAAGCAAATGAAAGAGCTTGGAATAAATTGAACCAAGGATGCTCAATATCTGAGAAACACAAAAGATTAAACAAGGAAATGGAAGAGGACACCAAACAACAGCAGCAACAACAACAACATATTGAGAAGCTTCTGCACTGCCAAAGAGACACTCAGCAAAGTGAAGAGGCAAACTAACGGTTGCAAAGCATGCAGCTGATAAAGAATCAACTACCAGAAACTTTCAAGAAGCTCAACACCAGCAAAACAATCCACCCACTCAAGAAATGGGCAAGGGACTTCAACAAGCAAACTATTTCAAGAAAGGGAATCTTCATGGCCAACACACACATGCAAACATGCTCAGGATCACTAGCCATCAGGGAAATGCAAACCGATATTACAATGGCCTTGAGGATGTGAGGGAAAAGGCACCCTAATCCACTGCTGGTGGGAATGTGAACTGGTATCACCACTGTGGAAGACAGTATGGAGATAAGTCAGAAATCTGAATACAGACGTAGCATATGAGCCAGCCACTCCAGCTCTGGGAAAGTACCCAAGGGAAATGAAATCAGCATACAAAAAAAGAGTTCTCTCTGCCCCCGTATTTACTACAGCTCAACCCACAAGAGCAAAGATATGCCATCAGCCAAAATGCCGATCACCTCAAGACTGAATAAAGACATTCTGGGCTATGGACACCATACATGCGTCTGCAGACTGCATAGCCTGGCTTTTGTGCATCCTACTGCAATAAGCATAGGCCTGCGAAAGCCTCTCTGTCTACACAATGATTTCGTTTCCTTCAACACGTTCCCAGTAGTGGGTACACCCATACAGTTTTCCATGTTGACAGGACCAATTTCACATGAGAAACTGTATTGCTCTACAGCTATATATTACAGAATACAGACATCGGATCCATAAACCCAATTTTGCCTTCAAACACTAGAACAGCAAAGTAAATCTGAAGAAACCGGAAGGAGGAAAATGATTCAAATGGAAATCAACCCAGCAGCATAGAAAATATCACAAAAGACATTCACTGAGACCAAAATACAGTTCTTGAAAACTCAGTGAAACTGACAAAAGAGGAAACAGGGGGGGGGAAAGGAGAACAGACTCAAATGACTTGACAACAGAAATGACAGAGAGGACATCACTACCAACCTTGCCAAAATAATAAACCAAAAATACTAGGGAAAAACCAGGCACGGGGATTTGGTCAACCTAGATAGAGTGGATTGACTCTCAGAAAGACGCAAACCGCTAAAACTGAATACAGTAAAACAAGAAACTCTGAATACACTTATAATTTGAAAAGAGACTGTAGTTGCAGGGAAACAGAAACAAACAAAAAAGACAAGAAGGAAAGTCCAGGACCAGATGGCTCTACAGGTGAGAACTCCACTTAAAAGATAATTAAAATCCGTGATTCGCACACCCTCCCAAAAAGGGGATGAAGAGGAAAAGCCTTCCATTTCATTCCATCAGACCAGCATCATCCCAACATCCCAAACAAGCACACATCATAAAGAAAATGGCATAGATATATCCGTCGTGAATGTGTCACATGCCTCGCCAGACACCATCCAGAAGCACAACCAAAGCTTAGCACACTGTGTGCAACTCAGAGTTACTCCAGAAATGCAAGGATGCATTTCTACCATACAAAATCAATCTATCACAGAACACACCAAACATGGGCAAAACCCACCAAGTATCCCGACAGACACAGAAAACCTATTCCACAAAAACTCCCGTGACTTGTGCGATACTAAAAACCAAATCATCAAATTAGGAAGGAAGGTATACCTCGGCCTGACAAGGCTCTTTCATGAAAAACCCGCAGAGCGCTAACATCACAGCCAATGCCAGGAACCCGAAACTGTCCTCCTAGACCAGGACACAGACACGCACTTTCGCTCTCATTCCTCCCGACAACACTCACAGGTCTAGAGCAGGGCGGCTGGGCCCTCGAAAAGCAAACAGACAAGAACACAAGGCCGTTCCGGGAGGAGACCCAGCCACCTCTGCTCTCGCACAGCTGCTCGCACCCTGGGGACCCTTCCAGACCGTCCGCACTGCACGACCGCGACTCCACCCGCGCCTTCGGGACCCAAGAGCAACAGGCACGCCTGCAGCCCAGATCCCCAGCGGGACACTGCAACAGCCGCGCGTCACTCACCTCAAAGGGGGCAGGGGGGCGGTCTGCCCGCGAGACAGAGGTCCGCGAAGGCCGTTGCTTCCCGAAGGGGCCGAAGAATAGAAACGCACCTGGGAAATGGCGCGGCAGCCTCCGACACGCAGCCTCTCCTGATGCCGGCCTGACCCGGGGGCCGCTGGGTCTCCCTCAGGCTCAGGCTCGGCCAGCAGCGTCGAAGAAGGCTCCTCTCCTCACGGCTTGCACGGGTGCTCTGGCAGGAGTAGACGTGGCGCTGACTCCCAGCGAGCACCGCGGGGCAGCTGGCGCCAGGCGTGCCGGTGCACTTCCTGGTCACAGCGCCAGGCGCAGACGCACTCCCCACAGGCCATCACCATGGCAACCCAGGACGCTTCTGCACACTGCCGCATCCAGCGTCTGAAGCCCCAGGGCCGCTTCCAGTCCCGCCTCTCCAGGCGGTGACCCAGGGACGCGGACCCTGAGAGCCCGCGTTCTCTGGACCCCACCTCCATGTCTCACGGGAGTCCTAATTGCAGCTCCTGCCTCCTGCCTCCTGCCTCCTGCCTCCTGCCTCCTGCCTCCTGGCTTCTGCCTGGCCCAGCGCTGGCCATTCACTGGAGCCACTTGGGGAGAGAGGCAGTACAGGGGGCCTCGCCAGCACTCTCTCACACTCTCTCTCTCTCTCTCTCTGAGTGATCATCCATGTGGAGGTTCACCCCCGAGATGGCTACAAAGGCCGGGACTGGGACAGAAGCCAGTGGCTGAAGCAGAAGCCAGGGACTTTAGCCGCTGCTCCATTCTGGGTTCAGGGGCCTAAGTCCTTGGGCCGTCTCCTTCTGCTTTCCCAGGCCTGTTAGCAGACAGCTGGATCCCACAGTGAACGGCTTCCGGGAGGGTCGGCACTGTGAGGTAGCGGGTAAAGCCAAGGCCCCCAGTGACGCCACCCCATAGGGGCGCCGGTTCGAGTACGGCTGCTCCACTTCCGATGCAGCTCTCTGCTGGGGTCTGGGAAGGCAGCAGAAGACACCCAAGTCCTTGTGCCTCTGCACCCATGAGGAGATCCCGGCGAGGCTCCTGGCTCCTGGCTTCAGATACTCTCAGCTCTGCCCATTGCAGCCAATTGGGTAGTGGACCAGCAGCTGGAAGTCTTCTCTCCAAACACACTCCCTCCCTCCCTCCCTCCCTCCCTCCCTCAAGTCCCCTCTGTGTTAACTCTTAGGTCAAATAAATAAATATGATCTTCAAGAAAAGTAAAAAAAAAAATTAAAAAAGGAACCCATAGCTATAAATAAAAAAAAACACATCAAGGCCATCTCCTAGAGTTTCTTTTTGTTTTTAGAAATTGGTATTATTTACATTACCTACCCTATTAACCCAGAATTTGAAAAAGAGTTTAACTGGGTCTTAGAAAAGATTTTGGTACCCAGTCATTCTCTTCTTCCTTACAAACATTCCGCGTGGCATTATCTCTGACTTGCGCATGAGGAAATCTTTCGAATGTACTTATTCAGACACTTACGTACCCACGCACACAAGGACTTGAAACACCTGGGATCTACAGAGTTCTCCACGCAACACAGGTCTGCTTCCACTCACCGCCCTCCACAGTCTAGCCCTGCCTTTAAAGTATGGATCATGTCGGACACAGGCCAAATCGTGTCTCCCACAAAGCAAGAGAGAATACAGAAAGGTAGCATCGGAGGTCACTGCTGACATTTGCTCCGTGCACATTCATTATCATGTTGCTACTTTTTCTCTCATTCCTCAATGTTAGATACAAATTGGGAGGGAGGAAGTCCAACTATCCCTATTTGCAGATGACATGATTCTCTATATAGGAGATCCTAAAGACCCCACTACGAGACTATCAAAACCCAGAGTAGGGTGTGGTAAAGTGGCAGGAGAGAAAATCAGCAGCCTATTTGTATACACAGACAATGTCACGGCTGAGAAAGGACTTCAAAGACCAATCCTGTTCACATAGCTACAAAGCAAATGAAAGAGCTTGGAATAAATTGAACCAAGGATGCTCAATATCTGAGAAAC